AGAAACTTGTATTGCCCTCTTGCTTATGATAGAGATGACTGTGTCTGGGCATGGGGGGGGGGGTGTGGAGGCGGTCGGAGTGGGTTAGGCGCCGGTGGGTGTCCTCCATGGAGCATCTCCCGACCGTGCTTCTTACCAAAAAAAAATCATTTGTTTTTTATTATGGACAGGAATGTGTGAGAGAGTGGGGTGCCTATACGCATGGCCAGAGTACATTAGGACTTATCCTCGTGTTCAATCCCCAGCTACTTCAGTAGTGAATTGGTCTGGGAGATATCGAGGTAGGATTCGTGTGGTGGTCTTTTTTGAAGTCCGAAAGAGGACCCTGGCAAATGAGAGTATGCACATGAAGAAGCAGTTCTTGTTAGTTGAACTGATTGCAAACCCACACATCCAAGTAAAAAAGGGGAGGCGCCTGGAATGGAGTAAGGACCTCAAAGTGGGGATCCAGGCCCTTTGTTGCAAAACCGCGTCTTTTTGAGGACCATACATACATATTAAAATCACTTAGTAATAATATTGTGTTTAATAAGTTATAATTCGATATTGACCTAACTGTTACTATGTGAGCATGTGAGAGCAGATTCCTCAAAAAGATACGTGGCAAACCGTGTGGGGTTTATAACACACAGACTTAAGCCGGAAATGTTGTCTTATGTATCAATTCAGCACTCGAGTCTTTAACGCATGATCACAGTCTCGAGGGGCGTGATTTACTAGCACTTTTGTGCCTATTAGAAAGGATTTTCCCCAAACTCCCTGAAGAAAGAAGCTCCACATGCGTGTGTGTAGAGGCCCAAGCAAACGGGATGGGTCCCATGGACAGTCATTTGGAAGTCCCTAGTTGCCCTTCCATCTCTGGTAGCTTCCGAGCCCTCTCCAGGGCTCTGGAACAGGTGCAACCATAATGGGGGAGATTTTATATTACGTTAAGAAAAGGATTGAGTACTGAAGTATTAAAGATAGAAGAGGGAGCTTTTTGGTTGGCATTCAGATGGGTGTAAAGACGCACAATTGTATTTCTGTCCCAATTAGGTGTTCCCTCTCCACAGAATCATGGAAGGCCAGAAGTCACTCATCTATAGAGACCGACGAATTTATTTTGGCAGTGCTTCTTCTCGCTCAAGCCCCTGTTCCCATGTGGCTCCTGTATCTGGGATGCATTGGTCCTCCTGACCGTCACCCACATTTTCTTGGCCACACTCTTGCAACAGGGGGGTGTATACAACCTCGCGCGCACTGGTGGGCCAGCCCCTTTCGCCGCCGCTCGCGACCCCTCCCACACACTCAAGCAGTCGTCTCGCAACCTCACGAGAGACGACACGCCACACTGAATGTAGCACAACAACACGGAGCTGCTGGCATGTATCCTGTCTCTGTCATCGTCTTCTGGCCGTTTATCGTGGTCCAAACCCTCTTCCAGCCTTTGTCCTCGAGTCCGCACGCAGATGCCCTGAAGTGTGGGGCAGTCCTCAAGCTGAATCTGCTCACTCTGCAGTGTCCCCTATGCCAGCTGCCTGCCTGCCTCGGCGGTCACACTATGCTCAGGGCCTTAACCCTGTCCTCTCTCCTGAGCTCACGACACTGGCCTCAAAGAGCCTCTTGGGCCGGGCGCCCGTGGCTCACGCCTGTAATCCTAACGACTCAGGAAGCAGAGATCAGGAGGATCACGGTTCCAGGTCAGCTTGGAAAAATAGTTTGTGAGACCCTATCTCAAAAAAAGGGCTGCTGGAGTAGCTCAAGGGGTAGTCCCTGAGTTCAAACCCCACTACTGCAAAGAGAAAGAGAGATTGAATATTCAAAAGCCTGAATTCATCACACGCACTAACCGCTTTTTAAGTGTCCAATAGCCACGTGCCTACTGCACAGGGCAGATTGCTAAATTCCTCCATCACCCCGCTAGCGGTCACGAAAAAGTCTGAAAAACTCTGGGCTCTTCCCACGCTGTCGGACAGAGCCATGAGCTCATTGGCTGGTGATAGGGGCGGGGTGTCAGCGCTTTGTTTTGATTGGGTGTTTTCTCTCAGCAGAAAGCCAATCACTGAGGGCGGTGGGGGCGTGGCCGGATCTGTTCCAGCGCGCCGGAACCCCAGGCGGGTCAGAGCCTTGGTGAGTTCTGCGCTTCCGCCTCCCTAGAAGTCTTGGGGTTCGGTGTCCCCCGCCCAGATCGGGGGTGAGGGGCAGGGTCTCCCTCTAGCCACGACGAACAGACGGCTCCCCCTACCGGTGCCCGCTGCTCTGCAGGCCCAGAGTGCAGGTGTCCCGTCCCTCCCTGACACTCTCGGGGTCCTTTGCTGTGATATGGGGCGGCCCTGTTGACCCGACAGCAGGACGAGATGGGCGGGGGAGGCCGAGGAAGAACGAGAGAGTGAGGTGGACGTGGGCACAGGGAGGCCGTGTCCCCGCAGGACAATGGCTCAGGAGGAGGGAGAGCGCCTGCCCCAGGTGCTGGCACGGGTCGAGGCCGCTCATGGCATCACCGATCTGACCCAAAATCTCCACTTCTATGACCGCTGGGCTCCGGACTACGACCAGGTAAACCTACCTGTATCCTGACCCGTGCAGAGCAGAAAGAGTTCGCTTTGTATTCTGGGGAAGTTGTGAGATGAAGTGAGACTTGGGTGACAGCCTGACAATCCTGCCCTACAGAGCACCGACCATCCTCTCCTCCCCACCCCTCCCACAATGGCCCTGCCCTCTGACCAGCCTCTCCAGCTCTGACCTCCACAATCAGGAGCTACAACCTCCCTAGCCTGAGACTGCATCCAGACCCAGGATGCTGCCTGGAGGAGGTGCCTTAGTGTGGTCACAGGGGACTGAGCAGAAAACTACCTTGGTTCCCTAGGAAGCTGACTTCTGTGGCCTGGATAGTAGCTGCCAATATGGCCATTTGGTGGCAGAAGACACATCATGCCTGGGTCTCTTCACACTGTAACCCCAGCAGGAACCAACCCCCAATCACACCGGCTCAGCCGACAGGCTCCTGGACCACCCCACACAGGGGCTAACTCTGTCGTGTTAATCAGCACTCTGTCCCTAGGATGTGACCGTCCTGCAGTACCGAGCCCCCAGACTAGCAGTGGACTGCCTCACCCAAGCCCTTCCAGCCCTGGCCCCTGACGCCCTGATCCTGGATGTGGCCTGTGGCACTGGCCTGGTAGCTTCTGAGGTGAGGCCTCCCTGCCCCATTGGTCAAATGTCCTGCCACTCCTGGACCCAGAGCCCTGCCTCCCATCTGACTTAGTCCCCAACACATCCACTGCAGGGCCCATTGTCTTCCCAAGGTACAGGGACCCAGCTGGGAGGTGGGAGTATGTAGGTCTGACTGAGAGCCCCTCACTCCAGTTGCAGGCTCGGGGCTTCCTCCGGCTCCATGGGGTGGATGGCAGCCCAGAAATGCTGAAACAGGCCCAGGCCCGAGGCCTCTACCAGAGCCTCAGCCTCTGCACCCTGGGCCAGGAACTTCTGCCCAACTCTGAAGGTACAGCCCTTCCTTCCCGACACCCCAAGTCCACCCCTCCCACATTCACAAGAAGATAGCCTCCTCTGCCTAGCCTCCATCCTCTCTGCTGGGCTGTCCCTCTGAGCCTCTCAAGCTTGGGTCCTACCACCTCCTCTTCCATGTGAGCTGGGTCCTACAGAGCCCGGTGACAGGCTTCCTCCCTCCCCAGTCTCCTCTATGGGGTCCTGGCCTCTAGGGTGACTTAAGGCCACACCTTGGATAAAGTACCAGACCAGATTCTCTCCCTACCCTCCACCCCCAGGGACCTTCGATGCAGTCCTGATTGTGGGAGCTCTCAGTGATGGCCAGGTGCCCTGCAGGGCAATACCTGAGCTCCTTCGAGTCACCAAGCCAGGTGAGAAGCCAGGTGCTCACACTTCCACATACCAACTCTCTGCACTCCACGCTCCAGCCTCAGCACCCCTCGGCCCAACTCAGGGGTGTCGCTCAGGGGTACCCAGCCCAACCCTGCCCAGGACTCCGTCCAGGTGCCACCAACAGAAGCAGACACACAGGTAGTGCAGACAGGTGGCCAGTCTGTGGTGCCCAGGAGCAACTCCAACCTTCTGCCATCTCTGTCCCCTCTCCTTTCATCCCTGGGATCCCTTCCCCCCACTATGGCAATGACAGTTGGGTGAAGTCATGACCCTGAGTTCTTGCTTCAGCCACGTTGTCTTGCAGCTCCTCACTAACTTAGGGCCTGCCATGAGGGCGATCTCTCTCCCTGGTCTCAGTTTCCTCATCTGGGAAATGGGCCTGCTCTGGAAAGATGACACATGTGAGCCCTTTTTGTCAAGTCTGCCCACTGGGTAGATATGCAGGTCATTGTGTTGATGGGGCTCCTACCTGATGTCATCTCTACTCTGGGCAGAAGGTGTAGGGCCTCTGTCACTCGCCCTCTGAGGCCTGGGGAAAGGTCAGACAGTATAGAGTGCACAATTTGCTCTGAGAATTGAGAGTCGAGGCATTCCTGAGGGCTGGAAGGACACATTCACAGCGGGGGACAAGGAACAGATGTCGGGAAGTCATGAAGTCAGGAGAATGGCAGAGCAGAAGGACCAGGAGGTACCTGCTGACGTCAGGACGGGAGCAGAAAGTCAAGAGGTGAAACCTCGTCCTCTCCCCCAGCAATCTGCCCCTGGGGAGCCTAGGGAGGCCTGGGCAGGCTTGGATTTCAGGGAACCCAGGGGTGACAGATACAGACATCCATGGGATCATCAGGAAGGGGTGGTGGTTGGGCTCAGAAAGTCTGGAAATTCCCACTGGGAAAACCAGCAAGGACCAGGCATTCTAGCCCAGCCAGGGCTTACCAGTCCCCTCAGCCAGCCAGACCCCCCTCCACCTGACCATGTGGGACAGGCTTCCCTGCTTGAAGCCTCTGTCCCCCTCTTCCAGCAACACCCAGCCATCCCCACCCCTTCCTCCAGGTGCCGTACCAGACATTGGCATAGGGTTTTCCACTTCTTCCAAGGGTATCTGAAGAGGGCTGGTGGAGCGGCTCAAGTGGTAGAGCACCTGTCTACCAAGTGGGAAGCCCTGAGTTCAAATCCCAGTACTGAAAAAAAATTGCTCCAAGGGTATCTGAGGCCACAGTGGGCATACTGGAAGTGTCTGGGCTGAGGGGCAAGGTCTATCATCCCTTCATCCAGTGCTCACTGACCATGCCGGATGGACACACACACACACACACACACACACACACGTGTGCCTTCTTATCAAACAGGATAATGATCCCCTCTCTGGCTGCTGGGAAACAGACTCAGAGAGATCAAGGGTCTCATCCAAGGTCCAGAGCCCAAGTGCTTCCTTCCTGTGCATCCAGACGAAGTCCTGTCCTCCTGCAGAGGGGCTGTGTGAGCAGCAAGCAGGAAGTCCCCTCCATCCAGGGTATCAGGTCTAGAATTCCCAGTGTAGTCAGGTGTGGTGGTACACCTCTAATCCCAGCTCTAGGGAGGCTGAAGCAGAAGGATAAAGAGTTCAAAGCCGCTGGGCGCTGTGGCTCATGCCTGTAATCCTAGCTACCCAAGGAGCAGAGGTCAGGAGGATCACAGTTTGAAGCCAGCTTGGGCAAATAGTTCTTGAAACCCTATCTCAAAAAACCAATCACAGGGCTGGCAGAGTGGCTTAAGCGGTAAGAGTGCCTGCCCAGCAAGTGTAAGGCCCTGCTGAGTTAAAACCCCAGTGCTACCAAAAAAAAACCAAACAAAACTTCAAGGCCAGCTAGTACTACGATAGAGAGACACTGTCTCAAAAAAAAAAAAAAAAATTCCAGTGTAAAAGACACTTAGAGATTTGGGCCTTGAAGGGTACATAGGAGTTCACCAAGCTGAGGAAACCAAAGGTATTCCTGGGGGAGGGAACACGGAGCACCAAAGCCATGGAGGTGGGAGAAGAGTGGCCCAGACTTGAAAACTTGAGCAGGAAACTTCCCAGGCAGAGACAGGCCTGGAAGTTGAGGCCCCTACACTCACCCAGCTCACCTGTGCCTCCCCACCCCTCCTCCAGGTGGTCTGGTGTGTCTGACTACCAGGACCAACCCATCCAACCTTCGGTACAAGGAGGCTCTGGAAGCCACTCTGGATGAGCTTGAGCAGGCTGGGGCCTGGGAATGCCTGGTGGCCCAGCCTGTAGAACACTGGGAACTGGCCACCTCTGAGCACGAGGTGGCACCCGGAACCTCTGCCAAGGAGAGCTTCATCCCAGGAATCATATACCTGTACCGAAAGCAGGAGGTCCCCAGGTGAGGGAGCGAGGCCCAGCTGCCAGCTCCCAGCTAGCGTTGAAGTTTCTACGTGGCCATAGCAGTGCCAATCCACTGGCCTGCCTCTGTCCCCATCTGTAAAATGGGCACAACATCACAAACCTGCAGCCCCAAAGGAAGGCTCTATTAAATGAACCCCCAAAGACTTACGACTCTGCAGTTCTGTGGCCCCCGGAAAAAAGAGACATCTGTCCAGTGTCACCAACCCCAGCTCAGTTCTGCTTGCTACCCAATGGAGTCATGAGTTTTGCAAAAGGGTTCATTTAGAGGTAGCCAAATGTGAGGAGGGGGAGCCCCAACTCCAGTCCACCCCTGAGAAGAGGGCTTTAGGAGTATTTTTAGGATGGAGAAACAGGGTGTGCTTGTTCTGAGTTGTGGGGGGCAGTGATGGGAGGTCGGAGAGGTAGACTGAGGGTGCACATGTGTAACCAGGCTCTTCACAAGGGGCCGGTTCAGAAAATGGTGGCATTAACTGACCTAAGGGTGGACTTGGGGGCCTATGATAGTCAAAAGGTCATCTATCAGCCAGTCGTGGTGGTGCACACCTGTAATCCCAGCACTCAGGAGAGTGAAGCAGGAGGATCGAGAGTTTGAGACAGCTGGGTGCCAGTGGCTCACATCTACTCGGGAGGCAGAGATCAGGAGAGGATCTTGGTTCGAACCCAGCCCAGGCAAATAGCTCTTGAGACTCTATCTCAAAAAAAAAAAGCCATCATAAAAAATGTGGAATGGCTCAAAGGTGTAGGCCCTGAGTTCAAGCCCCAGTACCCCCCCCCATAAAAAAGTGTCTGAACTGCTTGAGCTACATAGCAAGATCCTGTCTCAAAAAAAAAAGTCATTCATAGGACACTGTGTACAGGCCCAGGTGAATGTGGCCTCAACCAGTTTGAGGCAGACAAGGCTATTTCCAAATCTCTTTAAAAAAAAAAACAAAAAACAGGAACAATAGCTAGTATGGCAGAGGCTGCCTTATCTATGGTAAAGTTTATCCAGATGCATTCTGGTTTCTTAGCTACAAAAGGAAAGAATGTTCAAGCTGGGCGTGGTGGTGTGTCTGTAATCCCAGCTGCTCAGGCGTGGAGGCAGGAGAGAGACGTTGAGTTCAAGGCTAGCCTGAGCTGCACAGTGAAAATTTGTCTCAAACACACACACAGACAAAAGTGCTCTTTGGTTTTTAATTTTTGACTAGGAGGCTGTAAGGCCCCAGGTTTTTTTGTTTTGCTTTGTTTTGTTTTATAAATTTTTTTTAGGATATATTCATTATTCAGGGAGGGGGCAGATTTATCGTGACGATTTTGATTAGACTTCCATTGTACATTAGTTACATCACCCCCAATCACCACAAAAAAATAAAATGAATTTTAACTAGGGAGGGAAAGTGGCTCAGGTCTCTTACAAGAGAAAATGATTGTTAATTTCATGATAAGGATTCAGTTACACCTGTGGTTCAAGAAATGACAAGTGGTAACTCAGTGACAGAGCACTTGCCTAGCATGTACAAGTCCCAGGGTTCCAGCCCCAGCACTGCAAAAAGAAAAAAGTGACCAAAAAATGGGCCCTAACGTGGCTGTTCCTGAGTGACACACTTTGGAGAGGATTTTATGATCTCTCTCAGTGTGCTGGGCCCCCCACCTCTGACATATAGGCCAAGAAACAGAAACCAGGTGACATCAGAACCCACACAGCCCAACGGTAGCAAAGGAGGAGTCGAACCCCTGACTAAGCAGTTGCTGAACCTCTGGTTGTCCTGGACAACCCCGCATTTACAGCCAGAGGTCCCGAAGTGTGGATTTGGGCCTGGGTCACATGCCTTGCCCAGAACTTGGGGATCTGGTTTCCTCTTCCATGAGGGACCAAGAATGCCAAACTTGGGGTGTGGCTTGTGACTGCCCTGAGCTGGGGTAGGTGAAATGACTTTGGTGACTGTCAGCACCTTGGGGGACCTGAATGGGGCCTCCATCTAGGACCATAGGAAGGCTTTGTGGGAAGGATATTGGGGACTGGAACTTCGGGACTGGCAGGATCTAAAGGGGTGGAGAAAGGAGGAACCTTCCAGGCTGAGCGCAAGAACGCAAAGGCCAGGAGGTGGGTGGAGGATGAGAGGGCCAGCCCCGGTGCTCAAAGCTGGGACAAGGCACCCAGACCTCGACCTGGCTGTTCCCATCTGTCCCGGACTCTGGAGTCTTCCCCAAGGTCTTGTTAGGAAAATGCTGCACACCGCACACAAATGAGGCTCACAAGAGTTATCTCATGTGCATAGTTTAATTAGCAGGCAGAGAGAAAATGGTGCAGCAGCTTTTCTTGGTGGGCCTGGCCTTAAGTAGCATTTGGGGGAAAGCAAGGGCTAGGGACAAAGAGAGGTGGCAGGAGATAAGGGACAGTGGGCTTTGATCTGCAAGGGGTGAAACCAGCTGCGGCTTAGGCTGCAGAAGGGTCAGTTCTTATCATTCCCCCATTTTTTGTTTCTTAAAGAGAGGGAGAGGAAAAGGGTTGGGTATTGGGGCATAGTTTGATCCTCTGGCTGCTTCCAGCTGGCGGGGGGGCAGCGCATGTTCTCAGATGGGGTCCTTAGGGTTTGGTGTCTTCTTAGGGGTTAGCGTGGGGGTCCCCTTGGTGGCCCCAGAGAGGTTGATATCCTTGGAGGAGGACTTGATTGAATCTTTGGTTGGTGGCTGCAGATATGCGATCTTGTAAAACATTTTGTAAAGTTTTTATAATGCAGGGGAGAAAACTTGGGAGGGTAAAGACAAAATAAGGGGCGCTAGGAAAGGCAAGAGCCAGGAGAGCAGAGGCGATTGAGTCCAGTCTAGGACAGAGGAGTTTTTAGTCCTGCGAAGTTGAATTTCTTCGCTTAAGCAAGACAGGGTATCAATATTCTGTTCTACTAGCCCTGACTCATTAATATAGTAACAACATTCCTCTTGGAGGAAAAGGCAGGTGCCTCCTTTCTCAGCGGTTAAGAGATCTAGGGCCTGCAGTTTTGTAAGGCAACCTGAGCTAATGAGGTGAGTTGTCGCTGAAGGGAGGCCAGAGAAACTGAGGTTGATTCAAGAGTGACCTGCAGGTGCTCCTCAAAATCTTTTGCAGAGGTGACACTGTGGCCCAGGGCTCCACCTGTAAGCCCAGTGGCAGCAATGGAGGAGGCCAGGCCAATCCCAACCATAATGGGAAGGAAGGCGGCTCGTGGTTGTCAGGGCGAGTATAGCCAGAAGAATTCAGCCTTTCCACAGAGATTAAGTTGGGGAACTGCTATTACTGAAAGGCAGGGGCCTGGAGTAGAGGCATTTACACAGGTGTGTAAGGAGCCCTTGCACCAGAGTATCATCCAGAGGGCGGGAAGGTTTCAGTACTTATAGAGACATTAGAGCAACAGAATTTGAGGAAACCAGCCCAGAAGAGGAGTGGACAGAGGAGTAATAGCAGGTGTAGGAGGGAAGTGAGTATTGGTCTGGGTCAGGTTCCCACAGAGGTATAGAAGTCAAAGGTGGGGAAGGGAGGTGCGAGGCTTCTAGGACCTGGGTTATTAAGGCAGCATTAATGATGGGGGTTCCTTTTGTAGTTGAGTCCCCTTTCCTTCCAGATTGCAGAGTGGGACAACAAAGTGTGAAAGGCATATTTAGAGTCGGTGTAAATATTAATAGTTTTGTTTTTTGCCAGGGTTAGAGCTCTGGCCAGGGCAGTTAGTTCGGCCTTTTGGGAAGTTGTACCCAAAGGGAGAGGACGTGCCTCAATGACAGTGGAATTAGAGACAATAGCATAGCCTGCTCTTCGTTGTCCATTGTGAATAAAGGAGCTGCCATCAATAAACCAAGTGCAGTCAGCCTGAGAAAGGTGTCCTCCTGAATGTGGTCTGGGCAGGAGCTCCTCAAGGATCTTGGGGCAGGAGTGAATGAGGGGTGTTGAAGAGAGAGGAAGAGTGGCTGGATTAAGTGGGGGACATGAGACAAAAGTTAGTGTGGCATCCTCAACCAAGGCCACCTGGAGGGACAGGATACGAGAGGGGGGCGTGGAGTGAAGTCCTTTATATGTAAGGAGCTCTGAGAGGCTATGAGAGGAGTCAACAGTAAGAGGGGACCCAAAGGTGAGCTATTTACTTTCTTGAATTAGGAGAGAAGCAGCTGCTAGGACCCTGAGGCATGGGGCCCACCCCATGGTTGTGGGGTCTGTTTTGAGAGGTATGCTACTGGAGCAAAGGAGGGCCCTGTGTTGTGTCCTAAAACTCCTAGGTCAAAGCCCTGTCTCTCAGAGACATAAAGGAAAAAAGGACAGTGAGTTCTGGCAGGTGAAGCACCGGGGCTTGTAACAGACACTTGAAATGGCCTGACACAGGCCGAGAGGAGTCCAGGGGCTCTTGGATGGGACCCCTGGATGCCTCATATAGAGGCTTGGCCATCAGACTGAATTTGGGCACCCAGGCTCTGAGGTAGCCAGCCAGGCCGAGGAAGGAGAGAACTTCAGCCTTGGTGGTGGGGGCAGGGAGAGAGGCTAGCAAGGCCTTACGATCTAGGGTGATGGCCTTATGAGTAGGGGAGATAGATAGGCCCAGGTAAGTCACCTGGGTGAGAGACAGTTGAGCCTTGTTAGGGGACACCGGTATCCCTTTTTTCCCAGAAAATTGAGCAGAAGGGCAGTGTGTTGTTGGCTATCCTCGAGCGAGGGGCTGCAGAGCAGGAGATCATCTACATACTGGAGGAGTTTTACTCAGGGAGAACGGAGGGTAAGATCCTAGCCAGAGCTTGGCCAAAAGGTGGGGACTGTCCCGGAACCCTTGAGGCAGAACAGTCCAGGTTAATTGTTGGGAAGTGTGAGAATCTGGATCAGTCCAGGTGAAGGCAAAGAGGTTTTGGGACTGCAGGTGGACAGGGATAGTGAAGAAAGCATCTTTCAGGTCCAGGACTGTGAAATGGTGGTGGTACCGGTGAGAGATGAGGGTGGGTTACCACTGGTTGATGGAGTCACTGCCGCGTTGATTAACGGATCCTACACAGCCGGTTAAGACCATTGGCTTCTGTACAGGCAGAATAGGGGTTTATAGGGGAGTGAGTGCGAAGCAGCCCTTAGCGAGAAGCTCTGAGATGACAGGCTTTAGCCCTGCTAGGTGGTTAGAGAGATGTGATATTGAGATTGATTTGGAAATAGAAGGATCTTGAGAGTGACGACAACTGACTCATGATGTGAGGCAATGGAGGTTTTTGAGATCCCATACAATGGTCCACCAATGTTGCGGTAAGGGCAAGGATTGGAAAGCTGTGGAAGCAAGGATGGAGACGAGGGTTGATGGCTGGCTTTTGTGGGATGGATGTAAGGATGAGGGTGGCCTGAAACTTTGTCAAAAGTCTCTACCTAATAGTGGATGGGACAATTAGGTAGCACTAGGAAGAATGGGTAGAAGGTTCTCCCAGTATGCAAGTTAAGGGAAAGGTCATTAAGGGCTGGGTGGGGTTTCCTTCCACCCCGACTATGGAGGTTGAAGAAGGCTTGGTAGGTCCCCAGAACTCCGGCAAGGCAGAAAAAGTGGCACCGGAGTCTAGGAGGAGAGAGACAGGCCTGCCATTAATGATGGCTGTTACCCTGGGCTCCCGTGAAGTTAAGGTCGTCAGGCCTGGGAGTCCTGGAAGTCAGTCTTCCGCCGCAGTTGCCAGTCCTAGAAAATCAGTTAGGGAGGAGGAACGTTGAGGGGGTCTAGACCCCCGCCTCGAGAGGTGGAGGGGCAGTCCCTCGCCCAGTGGCCCCCTGTTTGCACTTAGGGCAAGGCCACACTGAAAACATGGGCCAGGAGGCATTCGGGATTTTCCCTGGCCTTGTGGGGGCGGGGGTGTTTGCCGGAGGGCTTGGGCCAACATCTGGATTTGGTCTTACCTCTCCTCTCCTTATCAGCCCGTTGCTGTTCCTCATGGTAATTATAAACCTTAAAAGCCACATTTAGAATTTCAGCCTGTGGAGTCTGAGGGCCATTTTCCAGCCTTTTAAGTTTTTTTCTTATATCTGGGGCTGACTGGGAGATAAGGTGGGTCATAAGGAGAATTGTCCCGTCCTTAGTTTAGGTCAACTTTGTGTTGGCGTCGTAATGCCTCTGTAAGTTGGGACAAGAAACTGGCTGGATTTTCTTTTTCCTCTTGTTGAACTTCTCTGAGTTTGTCAAAATTAGCAACCTTTTGGGCAGCCCTCTTTAATCCTGCCACTAGGCAGGTGACCATCTAGTCCCTGGAAGTTAGGTCATTAGTTTGATAGTCCCAGTGGGGTTCTGCCTCTGGAACTGCCAGCGTTCCACGGGGTCAGGCGGTGCGGGTGGTGGTGAATGTCATCTGCATTTCTTAGCCATGTCCCAGACCCTTTCGTTCTCCTCTGGAGGAGGGTGAGAGAGGATGGTATAAATGCCATGCCAGGTGAGGCTATAGGATTGGACCAAATACTGAAATTCTTTAATATAAGAGTCAGGGTCAGTGGTGAAGGAACCGAGGCATTTTTCAATCTGAGACAGGTCTGTGAGAGAGAAGGGAACATGAACTTGCACGATACCCTCGGCGCCGGCCACCTCCCAGAGAGGGTAGGGGGAAACCGGCTGGCTGGGGGGGACCGTGAGAGCGAGTGTGTGGGGGACTCAGGGGGTCCTGTGGTTTCGGGTTGGTGGGAGGGCAAGTGGAAGGGGGAGCGGAAGGAGGAGTGGAGGAAGGGGTAGAAGGAGAGGCGGGGGAAGTGGCAAAAGGAGCAGCGGGAGGAGAGGCAGAAGGAGCGATGGGGGAAGCACTGGGACCTGGCTGCTGAACACTGGAGGCTTGTGTCTGATAAGGTGGAGGCTCATTAGCAGGATCGAAAGAAGGGAAGGCGTCAGAGTCAGGGAGGGTAGTTGGGGTTTTTGTAGCCAGAAGGACCTGGGCAGGGAGCAAAGGGTACAGAGCAGAGATAAGAGAAGGCCTGGATATAGGGGATCTCCTTCCACCTTCCAGTGCGATCACAGAAGTTAGAGATCCCTGAGAATGTAAGGGTCGAGTGTGCCTTCTGGTGGCCATTTAGAGTCATTGTCCAATTGGTATTGTGGTCAAGCCTGGTTGGAAAGAAAAATGAGGTTTTTTTGTCTTTAGATCAGGTGAGAGCCGTAGGGGCTTGAGATTGGCCAATAGACAGCCCAGAGGGAATTTTGGAAGGTCCAGTGCCCATGGTGAGACCCGGTCCAAGGATGAATATAGCGGGCATCCCCAAGATATTCCTTTCCTGGACGAAACAGAGAAGTGGAGGACCTGAAGGGAATGTCTTTCACCGAGAGGATCGCCCACACCTCAGGAACCCGGTTCCTGAGCTGAGTGAGTTGGGACGTAGTACTAGGATTTTCCCAACAGAGAGAGAGAGAGAGAGAGAGAGAGAGAGAGAGTCATGACTCACGACCCGAGGGAACTCACCAAGGGAGGACCGAGTAAATCAGCTGGCGGTGGGTGAGTTACAGGAAGTGCACTGGCCTTGAGGAGGTGCCCTGTGAGTGAGAGTGGCGATGGTGGCACCAGTCTGGGGTCAGGGGTCCCAGCAAAGCAGCTCAGATCCCAGTAAGTTTATCCAGGCTTAAGGAAGGCAGCTCCCACCTGTGAGGGCCTGAATTTGCTGACTGGGAGAGGAAGATCAATGCCAGAAGCTCACCTGTTCCCGGCCAACGCACCAAATGTTAGGAAAACGCCGCACACCGCACACAAAGAAGGCTCACAAGAGTTATCTCATGTGCATAGTTTAATTAGCAGGCGGGCTGGCCGAGAGAAAATGGCACAGCAGCTTTTCTTGGTGGTCCTGGCCTTAAGTAGCATTTGGGAGAAAGCAAGGGCTAGGGACGGTCAAAGAGAGGTGGCGGGAGATAAGGGGCAGTGGGGCTTTGATCTGCAAGGGATGAAGCCAGCTGCCGGCTTAGGCTGCAGAAGGGGCAGTTCTTATCAGGTCTATACAAGACACTGTGTCCCGTACACAAGGTTTCCCCTTTAACAAACAAAAAGCTTAAACAGAAATTTCCAGAAATTGGGGCAGGTTCCAATTTTTTTTTTTTTTTTTTACAATTTCCTGAAACTCTTTGCAATGTCCTGGCTGCATCAGGGTGGTCCCTCGTGGACCCCCTGCTCACCTTCCAGCCTTGCCCCACCCATGGTTACAATCAGAGATGACATGGACTCATCCTGGGCACAGATTCCATTTATTGTAGAAAATAATAATAATTACAGTCATGAACAGATCTTCTTAAATTAAAAACAGAAATGAAAGAGCAGGCAGGGGGAGCCCCAGCTTTTCTGGGGTGACACCATTCCTCCCATCCCCCCCACACACATAGGCTGGCTAGTGTCCATGGCAAGGAGATGGCTCAAGGGGCCTGGGGTCCTTCCACTGAAGGGCAGAGCCTTATAGCAGCAGCAAGGCAGGGCTGGAAGAGGTGGAGGCAGCCTGGGCTGCTTCTCTGGTCCCCTGCCCTGGCACTACCCAAACCAGTTTATTCTACCTTCACCCCTCCCTCAAACCTGTCCATCCACTGTGCATTCCATTCCAAAGGAAGGTGGGTGGGTGAGGCCTCAGCCATTGTCACAGCCTCAGGGTTTTCCATGGCAGGGGCCCAGGCCGCACTAACAAACCCAGCCAGTCCTCCAACCATCCATCACACCAAGGCCTGGGAGGGCCAGGTGCCCTCAGGACAAAGGCAAGAGAAGAGCTGGGGTAACAGAAGATTCAGGCACAGGAAGAGAGGAGGACAGAATAGGAACAGTGGACACACCAGCACAGACAGCACACACGGTCACAGCTGAGCTGTCCTGGCCAGCAGGGGCCAGCTCCCACTCCACCGCCTGGATCCATTAGACATTCCCAGAAGGGCAAGTAACTCCTATCCCCTCTTTTCAACTATCCCTGACACAGAGGGGCTTTGGGAAGGTGTCCCTGTGGGCCCAGAAGGAGCCAAAGGGCTGCTGGCCAGTGTCCAGGCTCAGTCCCTGCTTCCCCATCCCCCAGCAGCCAGTGGCCCATGGCAGGGCCATCCTGGGATCACAGGCTGTGCTGAACTCAGTCCAAGCAAAACCAAAGTCAAAAGGGGCAAAGCAGAGTGGTGACACCTTACACGTAGTTGCTGGCCGGGGCAGAGCGAGCTGCGGAGTACTTGGCGGAGTAGGACTTGTCGGTGCGAGGTGGGCAATTGCAGCAGAGCAGCGCCCCTCCAAGCAGAAGGAGCCCCGAGGCGGCCCAACCAATGTAGAGAGAGGCCCCCATCTCCCGCTTCTGCCCAGAGGCCACCAGTGGGTTGTAGAAGTCACGAATGATATTGTGTGCTGTCCAGGACACGGGCACAATCACCAGCAAACCAGCCAACAGGAACACCATGCCTGCCACAATCATGGTCTTGGCTTTGGTAGTCTCATCCTCCATGCAGTTGGTACATTTGCCCCCGATCACAGACAGAAGCATGCCCAGGGCGGCCACAAGGACACAGATGACCATGAGAGCGCGGGCTGCCTGTAGGTCCTGTGGCAAGGCCAGCAGGGAGTCGTACACTTTGCATTGCATCTGGCCGGTGCTCTGCACCACGCAGTTCATCCACAGGCCCTCCCAGGTGGTCTGTGCCGTGACGATGCTGCTACCGATGAATGCTGTCACACGCCACATGGGCAGCGCGCAGCTCAGAATGGCGCCCAGCCAGCCCAGCACGGCCAGGGCGATACCCAACACCTGCAGCCCCATGGAAGCCATCGCTCAACGTCTGGAGAGGTTGAAGATGTCGAAGACAGTGGGGTCTGCCTCTGGGAGCCCTAGAATTCCAAAGTGGCCAGAGAAAGTCTTTCCTTGTGAGATGCAGTGGGACAAAGCCAGTTGGAGATCTCACTGAAGCCACTGGTGTGTCTCTGAAGAGTCAGGTGCTCCAGCCAACAAGTGTGACCATACCAGTTCCTTTCTGCAAACAGCTGCCACACGGATCTCAGCTACAGGTTGAGTAGTTATATGGCTCTCTCAGGGGGCGGGGGCAGAGGGAGGGGTTACAGTCCCTGGGGCACCCCGTGACCAGTTTCTCTGGATTCCTGAGCCATGGCCAACAAAGGCACAGAAAGGCCCCAACCCTGGGCCCCTGAGTCACCATCCAGTATCAGAAGAAACTGTTCCCTCCCCTGAACCCCCCCACCCCAGGTCTGTGCTGAGGTCAGCCTGGAGACAGACACTGAGTCACAGCCCAGGGGCACCTAGATGCTCATAAGGTGGGGTGGGGGTGGGGGAGGAGCAGCAGCCAAGCCTGGGGAAGTTCACAGCCCCAAGACCAGGGTCCCCACTCGCTAGTGCTCCTCACTAGAAGCTTGGGTGGAAAGGAAGGATGGGGACCCTTCATGGGAAGTAGAGGACGAAGTCCTGGGAAGGTCATAGAAAAAGGCCACCTTAATTACTGTTATCCTGTCCTTATCCCTTTCATCACAGGCATTGTCGCTATTATTATCATGAAGTCATCACTAGGCACTGCCTCACCAGCCACTTTCCTGTCATTGACCATGGAGGCTGAGTTTGGGGAAATGACTTGCTGGGGGAACAGGGACTTCTGTGTCCTTCATGGTCCCTGTTGCTCTCATGTCACTTTCTTACCCAGCCAGGGGAGATGACCTTGGAGCTTTCAGTCAGGGCAAGAGACACAGATGTCTGTCCCCTCCTCCTGCTGGGGTTGAGCCTGCTCAGCCAGAACTGGGTGGGGGAGAGCAAGCCATGGCCAGGCCCTGGGGACATCGCTTACCCAGTAAGTGGTGCTTACTCTATGAAGATAGACATCCGATAAAGGCAGATTGGGTACAAAGTCCCATGAAATCTCAAAGGAGAGGGAGATCCCAGACCCAGGTGCAGGAGGGATGAGGGGAGGACTCAACAGTGAAGAGGTACTGCCCGCACACCTCCAGGGGGCACTGTGTTCTTGATTGTGTTGCAGAGGCACCAAATAACTGAGGACCCTGTGATGGTGTCCCCTAGGGAGTTGTGCAGGGCAGTGGTCTGGGTGAAAGAGGACATTGTGGGGGAGGGAACAGCAAGGAGGTAGAGAAATACAGCTCTTTCTGGGAAAGGAGGAATCCAGTTTGACCATAGACTGGCCTTGTGGGGGAGGAGCCAGAGTGAAAGGGTGAAATCTCTGTGTCAATGTTCCCAAGTCCTGGCTTGGGCACAGAGGACAGACATGAGAAAGAGCATCTGGTGGCAGATTGAACAGTGTCTACAACACGTTCCAAAGGCATCTGGGGACAGATGACAGGTAGAGGGGTGGGACAGAGGGTCCAGGGTCAGGAAGGGCCAGGTTTAGAGTAAGAGGAAGAAGAGACCAAGAGGAAGTAGTCACTGATGGGTGACACCAGTGACAGGGGCTCATTCCAGCTGGTCCAGGGATTCCCTCAGCTTCTCTTCACCATTTTGTCTCTCTTCCCACCGTGCTGGGTGAGTGCCTGAGGGGACAGTGCTTTCATGGGTCTCCGAACCCCCTCCCCCATTACCCAGGCCCACATAGGGTGCCCTGGGCTGGCTGTGTATCCAATTCTGACCCAGACAGATTCACAGTCCTTGGATTTCCACAGGGAGAATCATGCGGGCTGCCATG